GTTTGTTCAGATCATGACCCCTGGGGGTAGGGCGGGGCCACAATGGCTGGTCAAAGTTTTATATAGAATTTATATAGGAAAATTCTTTAAAAATCTTCTTCTCAAGAACCACTGTGCCAGGAAAGATGAAAATTATAGGGAAGCATCCTCAGGTAGTGTATATTCAAGTTTGTTCAAATCATTACCCCTGGGGGTAGGGCGGGGCCACAATGGCTGTTTAAAATTTTACATTGAAATATATAGGAAAATTCTTTAAAAATCTTCTTCTCAAGAACCATGCTGCCAGGAAATATGAAACTTATGGGGAAGTATCCTCAGGTAGTGTAGATTCAAGTTTGTTCAAATCATGACCCTTGGGGGTAGGGCGGGGCCACAATGGCCGATCAGTTTTACATAGAAATATATAGGAAAATTCTTTAAAAATCTTCTTCTCAAGAACCATGCTGCCAGGAAAGATGAAACTTATGGGGAAGTATCCTCAGGTAGTGTAGATTCAAGTTTGTTCAAATGATGACCCTTGGGGGTAGGGCGGGGCCACAATGGCCGATCAAAGTTTTACATAGAAATATAAAGGAAAATTCTTTAAAAATCTTCTTCTCAAGAACCACTGTGCCAGGAAAGATGAAACTTATAGGGAAGCATCCTCAGGTAGTGTAGATTCAAATTTGTTCAAATCATGACCCCTGGGGGTAGGGCGGGGCCACAATGGCCGATCAAAATTTTACATTGAAATATATAGGAAAATTCTTTAAAAATCTTCTTTTCAAGAATCGTAAAGGTATGAATGATTATATTTTTGTGGAAGCATCCTCAGGTAGTGGACATTCAATTTTTGTTCAAATCATGACCCCAAGGGGTAGGGCGGGGCCACAACATGGAATCGAAGTTTTACATAGAAACGTAGAAAAAATTCTTTTCAAGAATAGCAAAGCCATGATTAGTCCTGTTCATATGGAAGCATTCTTGGGTAGTGTAGATTCAATTTTGTTCAAGTCATGACCCCTTGGGGTTATAATAGGTCGGGGCCACAATGTAAGTTCAAATGTGAAGGGCAATAGAGCCACAGGTAATCAAAGAAATAGTGAAGATTCAAGTTTGTTCAGATCATACCATCTCCCTTTTAAGGATTGGTTTAGACCACTACTGGGTTTTAACTTTTCAACAATAAACTGATTTCTGCTTTTGCCTATCCACATTGCTCAGGTGAGCGATGTGGCCCATGGGCCTCTTGTTCGTATGTAAATTAGATTTGCAGCAATATTGCCAGAAAAGTGTTGCCGCAATATTGCAGCATATTGTAGCAACATTCTGGCAATATTGCGGCAATATTGTTTTTCATATGTAAATTAGATTTGCGGCAATATTGCCAGAAAAGTGTTGCGGCAATATTGCTGTAAAGCAATTGCAGTACGTGTATTATTTCAGGTTGTGCTGCAGTAATACTGGGGCAACACTACAGTGCTACATAATTAAGTTGGTAATTAACAGAAATAATAATTCAAAATCAAACAATTAACAAACTGTGCTGAGGAATATAACAAACAATAGCAAGCCACAGGGTCAATAAGAATTAGATACTTCTGCTATTCTTTGAACAGATAGAAAATTATGTTGATCATCATAATGAAAATCAATTAAGTTAGATATGTTTGTGAAACACTATGCGCCTAATGGCAATAAAGTTTAAAAAGCTATTTATAGCATACGGGTCACAGTCAAGGTCACAAGGTCATTGATCTTGGTGTCATTTGAAAGAACTTAATTAGTGGCGTATGGATACTTAATATGAAGTCTCTATCTCTTATAGTTCAAAATTTATGGCAGAGGATCAAAATGGCTATTTTTAGCATATGGGTCACAGTAAAGGTCAAATTGTCATGGACTTTGGTGTTACTTGAAAAAGTTTAATTAGTGAAGGGCACATACCAAATATGAGTTCTCTATTTTTTATGGCTCAAAAGTTATGTCGAAGTTTCAAAAAATCTTATTTGAAGCATAAGGTCACAGTCAAGGTCACAAGGTCATTGACCTTCGTGTTGTTTGAAAGAGTTTAATTAGTGAAGGGCGCAACCAAAAAAGAGTTCTCTATCTTTCATGGCTCAAAAGTTATGTCAAAGTTTCAAAAAATCTATTTTAAGTATATGGTCACAGTTAAGGTCACAAGGTTATGACCTTGGTGTTATTTGAAAGAGCTTAATTAATGAAGGGCACATACCAAATACAAGTTCTCCATCTTTTATGGCTCAAAAGTTATGTCCAAGGTTCAAAAAAATCTATTTTAAGCATATGGGTCACAGCCAAGGTCAAAGGGTTATTAACCTTCAGGTGTCTTTTAAAAAAGCTTAATTAGTGAATTATGCATACTAAATATAAAGTCTCTATTCATGATTTTAAAGTTAGGATGAATATTCAAAAAAGCTATTTTTAGTATATAGGTCACAGTCAAGGTCACAAGGTCATTGAACTTGATGTCATTTTAAAGAATTTAATTAGTGGAGTAGACATACCAAATAACGCAAATATGAAACAAGAGGCCCATGGGCCACATCGCTCACCTGAGTAACTTGGGTGATGCAGTTCTTGACCAGATTTCCCCTCTTGCTATACTTATCATGCCCGCTACCCACTCTCCTTTCATGATTTGAATACTTTATAAAATTTACACTACCCCAGGATGCTTCCACATAAGTTTCAGATTTCCTGGCCCAGTGGTTTTTGAGAAGAAGATTTTCAAAGATTTGTTCTCTACATTTCTATGTAAAACTTGGATTCCCTATTGTGGCCCCGCCCTACCCCCGGGGGTTATGATTTTAACAATTTCATATCTACACTATCCAAGAATGCTTCCACATAATTTTCAGCTTTCCTGGCCCAGTGGTTCTTGAGAAGAAGATTTTTAAAGATTTGTTCTATATATTTCTATGTAAAACTTGGATTCCCTATTGTGGCCCCGCCCTACCCCCGGGGGTTATGATTTTAACAATTGAATATCTACAATATCCAAGGATGCTTCCACATAAGTTTCAGCTTTCCTGGCCCAGTGGTTCTTGAGAAGAAGATTTTTTAATGATCCCACCCTATTTTTGTCTCTCCTTGATTATCTCCCGTTGTAAGAGGACTCGGCCCTTCATTTTAACAATTGAAACTTCCCTATACCCAAGGATACTTTGTACTAAGTTTGGTTAAAATTGGCCCATCGGTTCTTTAGAAGAAGTCGAAAATGGGAAAAATTTACAGACGGACGGACGGATGGACGACGGACAAAATGTGATCATAAAAGCTCACTTTAGCCTTTGGCTCAGGTGAGCTAAAAATCTTTATCTCTCATTGGTTCAAAAGTTATGGTGAAGATTAAAGTTTACAAACAAACAAACAGACAGGACAAAAACGATATGCGCCCCCGATCTATCGAGGCGGGCACATAAAAAATGATTATAGAAACAATAGAAACAATATGCTACTGTGAAAATGTCCAGTAACTCTGCATTAATTTTCAAATAACATGCTTTGATTCATCTTTTCCAGCTACTCTAGGATATATTATAGACATACAAGTCTAGTATGCATGCATCAGAAGCACTTGTTCAAACACATTTAATTTTTTGTGACCTTTACCTCAATCCTATTTAATTTGTATTTCGCTTAGTTTTAAAGAAATAATCTAAGACATTTTTATGTTTTTTATGCACTTATACATAATTTGGTGAGGATTTATAATCTATATCCAATTTATTTAGATTTTAGTTTCTAAAGAAACTGTTCAAGATATTTCCAACAAACTTTTATGTATACACTAATACAAATTTTCATGTAGCATGAGTAATATATATACATCCAGTGGGACATTCATGTCCTATAGACATATTTCTAGTTTTTTCAAATCATGACCTCAAAGGCTAGGGTCAGGCCACAATTAGGGATCAAAGTTTTATTTAGGAATAAAAGGAAACAAATCTTCAAGATTCTCCTTTTCAAAAACAACAAGAGCATGATTAATATGGAAAAATTCTCAAGATGTAGATTCTAGTTTGTACAAATCATGACCCCCTGGGTTAGGCAGGGGCCATTTTTTCCTGCCCCTTTTTGCCATCCACACGAAAATGCAAATTTTGAAACCATTTTACACATGAATACACAAAACAAACCAATCATTTTAAAAATGGTCATGGTTTAAAGCTAATACATAAAATGTTAGGGAAGTTCTTAAAAGAAGGGTGATTAAAAATATCAAATATTTAAAAAAAACAAAAGCAAATTTCTACCCCAATTTGACCCCCCGGACAGAATGAAAATTCCGAAACCTTACTGCACATCTGCATGACACCACCAACCATCTCTTAAAAGATGATTAGGCTACTGAGTCAAATGTAAGAGGAGTTTAAGGAAAACTGGGCTTCTTGCAGAAAAAAACATCATTTTTGACCCCCATTAGACTCCCTGGGGCATAATCAAAATTCCGAAACCTTACTGCACATCTACATCACACCACCAACCATCTCCCAAAAGATGATAAGCCTACTGTGTAAAATATAAGAGAAGAGGAGTTTAGGGAAGACGGGGCTTTTTGCATAAAAAACGTCATTTTTCAACCCCCATTTGACTCCCTGAGGCAAAATGAAAATTCCGAAACCTTACTGGACATCTGCATGACACCACCAACCATCTCCTAAAAGATGATTAGGCTACTGTGTAAAATGTAAGAGGAGTTCAGGGAAGAAAAGTGTGACAGACGGACGGACGGACATGAGTAACAACAATATACCCGAATTTCCTTTAGAAAGTGTGGGTATAACGAGGATTTTTTACATAGATTTTTATTCTTCATGGAAGCAATGCTTTGTGATTATACATTTAGTTATATCTACTTGCCACTTGCAATTTGGTAAATACTTATAAGAAAATACAAGATGGTGTGTATTGCTCTTGCATTATGCACACACTTTCCTAAAAACATGATTTATCAAGTCACAGTTGAGTTAAATAAAATAAACAATACTTACAAGTGGAATGTGGAGACTTGAGTAATAGACCAGTAGCAATCAACGTCAACCAAAGCAAACCCTCCATCACTGAAAGAAAAAGACATTTAGCTATTTAATATCAGTATTTCAAATGCAGATATCATATTGTAAGTAAATTCCATTGGTCTAAAATTGTTTCTCGAGTCTTAATTTGAAATAAAGAGGAAGAACCAAATAAGATTATATCAAATCAAAGACACAAAATAGAATGAAACATATGGAGATAATAAACAGTACTGTAGATCACTTAATTTTTGCGACATTTTATTTTCGCGAGATAGTCATTAACTCTTGATTAGCGAGACAAAATTTTCGCGAATTGTGGTAATTGCTCTCTATAATCTTAAGATATGCTATTATACGCGAGAATTAAATTTTCGCGAGCACTATGTGTCGCGTAATTAAGCAAAAATAAAGTTCTCGCGAATAAAAAGTTATTTACAGTATTCAAGATCAAAAGTCCATACAACTATACAAAATAGGAGCAAAGCAAACACGGACCTCCAAAACATTAGAGGTGGGATCAAGGGCCTTGGAGGAATGAGCATCCACTGCTGACCGTCACACTCGCCGTGTGCTTCTTGTCCTGATCGGAAAATAACTGAAAAATCCATCGTTAATTCAATGTTTAATAATGGACTAATAGTAAAAATGAAAAATGTCAGTCAACATTTGACTCAATGATAAATTGTATTTGTTGATAAGGTCATTGTACCGACCATAGATCTTACGAAATGATGACTTTAAACGAAACTATTGAAATTCTTGTTTCATCAACTTGTTTGTCAATATTTTGCCTCGCTGTTGAAATTTGTTCATACGAAGAGCATTCGCTTGCTTATCTAATCAACTCAGATATGTAAACTTCGTATACAGGTGATGGAGGTATATAGCTGCATACGTAAGAGAAGTTGATGATAGAAAAGTTAAAGTCATCACGTTTACCATGGAATTCGAACTTGGATGTTAGATTACATTTTACGTATTTTTAAAGTACATCTAAATATGGGACAAGTGTGTCAAACTCTGTGGTGTCTTTTACAAGTATCTCAAGCTCACCAGGATATAGTGTATCGACATAAGAATGCAAATTTCCATTGTTAATTGATATTACGTCGTCGATATATCTAAATGTCGAGTTGAAGTCCGGCCCACAGCAAGTGTTTTCTTCATTTTCACGCTTCACATTTTGCACGATTTGAATGCAAAAATAGGTCTGCTAATAATGGTCTGCAATTGGTACGCATGGAAATTCCAATAGATTGTTGGAAGACCTGGTCTCCAAAAACATCATAGATATTGTGAAACAGAACTTCAAGCATCATTATGATGTCAACTTCAGAGTACTTCTATGTACAATCAGAATGTTTTTAACAAAATGATTTTGCAAATGACCAATGAAAAGGTAAGTAAATTACATTCAGGAAACTTCAAAAGTTATCATACTGTGCAACAATATATTCAAGAAGTGGTGTGGTGTTATTCAGATGTGGATACTTAAAAATACTTTAAAATGAGTTCTCGGAGAATGTCAAAAAAAAAATGTAGATCACCATGACGTACGTTAGATTCCATATCTACATGTATATTGGATTCTGAAACCATGGCCGTAGGGACTGAAAATAATTAAGAAAACAGAGCTACCATTTGCTTGTGGCCCCTCAATAATAACGTCTATTCAATTTTTTGTAAAGGATTTATTTTACTTTACCCCCTCCCCCCAAAAGAAAACTGACAATGTATGACTCTGACCCCCCAAACTGAAATTGCTTCCTACGGGCCAGCAGACTTCCTAAAACGCCTTACAAACAAATCCAGCGGTTTCGAGTAAATGCTTAGAAACCAAGCCTCTTTCTTCACTCGTCACAAAAATATAAAACAAGCAAACTGTCACGCTGCTAATAAAACGATAATAAAGTGTTTCTGGCCTTGAAAAGTTCAAGCCATTGCTGCGTATTAAAAATATAAAGTACTTTTGCAAGGGGAAATTCTGAGTAGAAAAACTCTTATGGGACAGAATTGAAGATCATTAACTTTTGCTTCCAAAGCTTTACTAGTTCTTATGTATAAGTGAGGAAGCGGGAATTGTTGAGGACATTTTAAAGAGTTAATTTAGTATATGTAAGAAAGGTACATCCCCTTCTGTAAAAGTTTTATTTTCTTATTTATAAATGATCAACATTCTAAAATTGTTGAGTCTGGGGACCTTGAAAACGTAGGCCCTGTGTCACGGTAGCTGTTGGCATGATAAAGAACCCTCACTGCTCAATGGCCCTGAGTGCCGAGTATAGCTCTAAATTTGAAGCCTTGACCGGCATACTGCGACGTCTTTGTTTGAGTGAAAACATCTCGAATTGGACGTTTAATAATACACAATCAATCAAACAATTTTTCTTGTAATTCTTTATTGTTTGATTTTTTTGTAGGTTTTGGAATGGGAGGTTCCATGCAAAATGTGTTTAATATTTTTAAGTATAAATAGCGTTCGTAAAGATGCAGGTTTCCGAACCAAAACCATTTATATTTACAGAGAAATAAAATCATTTTCTGTTCCAAGACACAATATTCCTTCACTCGTTCCTCCCAAGTGTACGTATGCCCAGAAATCAAGTGCAGACTTAATTAGGTAACCTTGGTCTTAAGTTTTTATTGCAACTGATGTAAAGTGGAACGTAGGAAAATTGAGGATTTTAATACACTTTTCGAATAGAATGCTAGTATGTACCTCAGTTTGTGAGGCTCCAATTTCATTTTGTCTTCCAATAAAAAATATTCTACGTTTGTTATCCGACTCGTATATTATGCTATTATGCTAGAGGGAGTCGACTCTTGATCTTCCTTCGCCAAGCGCTCAGAACTTTGAAGTGAAAATTGCAGATCTTTTGGACGAGACCTTAAGATTCGAGGCCACTTTCCTCTGCTGGGGTTGGCATGATAAAGAACCCCTTGTGCTAAATGGCTCAAAGTGCCAAGGAAAGGTCTAGATTTGAAGCCATTCGCTGGTATCTGTTGACGAGGCTCTATGACAAATTTTTAATCAGGACATTAAATCAACATTCTATCAACTCTTTTTGTTTTGGTCCTTTTTGCTTCTGTACGAAATTCCTTGACCAACTGTATATCAACAAGAACTGAGTGTTTATTTCGCTAGTTTTATCCTAAGGGTACCCCTTGTTATTTCAAAGTGGAACGGAAGTGACCATACATTTATTTTGTCATGGGCAATCCAAAATATCTTCCGATAAAAAAAAATAAAATTATAGGTCATAATGGTACTAAGTTACAAAGAAATTAAATTTCATTTAACGGTTTCAGAGGAGTTGCGGAGGATATGGAGATAACGAACAGTATTCAATATCAAAGTGCATAAAAAATAGGAGCAGAGCATACACGGACCTCTAAAACATCAGAGGTGGGATCAGGTGCCATAAGAGATGGGTACCCAGAAGCATAACGGACGGACGTACAGACAGCTAGTCTGACGGACACCCCCATCACTTTATAACCACCACCTGCTTGTCAAATGTGTATGGTGGTATAATAATAAAGAAGGTATTATTCAACGGATAAATGATATATTCAGCAGAATTACTTCATACCTTGTGTAATGAAAGTTTTGTCCATAATATAGCTTATATAAGATTATTCAGGGATATTTTTTCTATAATGCGTGAAGTGTTCCATCGAAAGCACATCTCTTTGTCTTATATTTTGTCTATTTAATAAACTTTAATAAACTTTGTAAGTATACTAAATAAAGCATTTTTACATTGTACAAAAAGTCTTTCAAAAGCACACAAATGGGAGTACCATGCGCCTGAGATAAAGTATTGGTCAGGGTATAAAGAAATAAACTATAGATGGACGGAAGTCATATCTGCTTTTTAATTAAATTATGATTTTCCTTGGTTCAGTCCCTCACTGCCATAGTTTGAGTTCATGAACTTAAATTTGAATTTTCATAATTATACTGACGTCCAGTGCATTGATTGGACATTGTCATTATGGAAAAAACTAAATCTAGCTCTATTTGCAAAAAAAACTTTATGAATTAATATCTCCAACATCTACGAAAAAAAAATTATGTAGATTTGCCGAAATTTCGATATGTGTTATAATTCTTCGTTGGGATTTTCAAATGTAATTTAATTACATGTTTTTCATATATTAATTATTCTTTAGATATATATATCTTACCTGAAGCTTTCTCTGATTTTAGCGAGTTGTGGTAACAGGTTTGTATTTCCTCAAACCTTCATCTGAAATCCTGACGTTCGGGACTTGAAATGAACATAATCTATGAATGCAACACCATTATATACCAACTGAATATATTAACTAGCAGTTAACCTTTGTACATTGGAAATAGCATATTATATAGTGTCATGTTTAACTTACATAACAGTCAGAATCTACAAGGAGTTTTATCCTTTGTCTGATAAAAACAGGAGTTACTAACTCACTTAAATTATAAGTGCATATCTAATTGTTTTGAACAAAGTTTTAATCAATCTTCTTGACTTTTTTCTGTGTAAAACTATTCTGGAATTTTGATTATAATATTATGTTGTATGAGTTGAAAAAGTAAAGATTTTATTGGGGTAAACTAACATTTCAAAAATCAGAAGCTTTTTAAATGTTATATCAATAAAATGTAATCCATTTAGTTCCATTTGTCTGAGAAAATACTCTTAATGAAATCTGCAATGAATACTCCAGGTACATGGCATTTATTATGTGTAATAACAAGGTGCTCTTGGGTCATTTTGAAAGGAAGGAAATTTTTTGCAATAAAAACTCGACATGACATGGGCTTTTTAAATATAGTAATATTGTCCCTGTATCATTGAAAGTTTTTGAGATATGAAACAGAAAGAGGTGTTGCAGTTCTTTTGTTATTTTCCCTAAATGTGTAGCAGATTAAAAGATAAATTTTTATGTTGCAGAAACTCATATTAATTCTTTTCAAATGCAACAATATATAAAGCGCAATGAGAAACAATATTTGGAAGCTGCGTATTGACTTTAAATTTTCCATTAAGGGGATAAAGGACCTTAAGCTGAAAAAATACCTGTCATTCAATTTTTTTCATATTTTGTATATCTCTTATTTAATATGTCCCACATACCTTAAAGCAGATATATCAATAGGTTTCTAGATTTATTTCTGAGATATTGAGTGACAAATAGTATGTCCCAGAGTGTCTAAGTGAAATTTTATTCTCCGTATTTCTGGGCCCATTACTCGGTCCATAATGGAATTTTTTCAGTATAGATAAAAAATATGTCAGCGAACATGTGTCTTTTAAAATATTTCACAGTATGAATAGGGTTAAAAATTCGAAAAAGCAAGGTTCCGTTGTCACACCGCATCTGGAGACGGAAAATTACGTTCTTTTTAAGACAACTTAAACGACAAAAAAAATTAATTTACAAAAAATCCTAACATTCAATATTTGAAAAATTACGTCAAAATGCAAGTTCGTCATGTTATTGATTAACTGCAAAAATATCGATTGGTGAAGCTGAGCTAAATATTGCACAGGGCATAGTTAAACAAGACATGAGCATGAGAAAAACGTGTCATGTTTACATTTCTCGAGTACGGGAAAACCCTACTATGACCTCACACATTTGCGAAATAAGCTAAGTAAGACATAACTACAATATATTTCCGTCAACAACCATGTAAAAATATTTTTTGTGTTCTGTAATTCATAAAATATCCCACCATGTACTGATCATGACCCGTTTTTATGATATTATACTACCCGTGTTTTACCTTGTATATAATCTTACTGTACTAAGATACACTATGACGTCAGCGACTCGTTGGACGCGCAGTGTAGGGAAACAGAAGAGTGGATCAATCTATTCCGTATTTTAAAAATATTTGCAAGAAAGTTTAAATGTTTTTAGATATTTTATACAAGATGATGAACTCAAACAAAGAGTCATTTTTTTTCCCAAATACTGTGGTTTCAATCTGGTTTTGTACATATTTTATAAGAGATTATGACGTAATTAAACTGAGTCACGTGACCATACATCCTTCGTCCCCTTAAAGGATGTGAAAATTAGTCTCACGGCAAAATATATCAGATTTTCCGTTTATTAAACAGGGAATCCCCACTGTTCTGAAAAAGTGTCTACTCGAAACAAAATAATTTTGATAAATACACAAAGAGACATAAATTTTCTTCAAAACTGCCATTTCCAATTTTTGTTTCAAAGAGGCACATTTTTGAAAAACGCAAAAAATGAAAAATTCTCCAAACGAAATGCAAAATGTGAACATTAAATTACACTGGAAAACTCCGTGTCCGAAATGGTCTAGTGGATATGCTGGCGGAATTGTAATGGATTGTGTGATGTTAATAAGATGAAAGTGGTATTTGCTTTATTTGAAGAAAGAAAATATGACATTATTGGTTTACATTGGAAAGATGATTTTATTGGAAAATATAAACATTTGTGGAATGGTATTTTACTATATAGCAGTTTTGACAATGAAAATAATGAAAACATAGATGTTATAAATATTTATGCACCAAATTGTACAAAAGAAAGGGTGGCATTTTTTAAAGCTTTTTCACAAGATATTCCTCAGTCTAATAATTTATTGATATTGGGAGATTTCAATAAGCCCTTTTTAATTTGATAAGTGAGCACAATGTAGTTGATTTATGGAGAAAAAGAAATAGCAGGGTAAAATCATTTTCTAGAAAGATAGTTGAAGAAAGTAATTTAGTTCAGAGTAGAATAGACTATATTCTGGTTTTGTTTAAAATATATATTATGTTGAGACTAAATTAAGTGATCACTCAATGGTTGTGTTATATTTTGACAATGTAACAAGTGAACATGGACATGGTTTATGGATACATAATAATTCATTATTGAATGATGATACATACCGATCAAGAGTAATTGAAATAATCTTGCCATTTATTTGAGAGTTCAACACTTGTATGGTGGGATAATTTGAAATACAAGATTAAAAAATTTCACAAAGTTTTAGCAAAAGTAGAGCAAAAGAACGAAATAAAGAATATTACAGATTACAAAATAGTATTTAAAGGTTGTCATTAAATATTGCAGAAGGTATGAATATTAACATAGAGAAATGTTAAGCTTTACAACAAGACTTGTCAGATTTTGAACTAGAGAAATGCCAAGGAGAAATATTAAGATCAAAAGCAAAATGGGCGAATGAATCTGACAAATGTACAAAATATTAGAGAAACTTAAACTTAGAGAAATCTAGACAAGAATCAAAGTCAGTTAAAAAATTATTAGATAATGAAGGTGTTGCAAAATCAGAAATAGAATCTCTTTTAGATATAGAATACAATTTTTATTCATAATTATGTTCATCAGTTAAAACAGATGAGGAAAGCAGGAAGCATTTTTTATCATTTTTGAGTAAAAAAATTAATGAAAATGATATTAAAATGTGTGATAATGCAATTGAAAAAAATGAAATTGATAATGCAGTAAAAGAAATAGCAAACAATAAAAGTCCAGGGTCTGATGGATTAACAGTAGAATTTTATAAAGCTTTTTTTGCCACAATTGAGTGAAATTTTATTTAAGGTATTTAAAGAAGCTGAATAAAGTGGTAATCTTTCACATTCAATGAAAATGGTAATTTTAACATTGTTATATAAGAAAAAGGATGATAAAAAGCTTTTAAAAAATTGGAGACCAATAAGTCTTCTAAATGTCAATTACAAGATAATAGCAAGGGTGATGTCTAGTAGATTAAAACATGTTTTACCAAACATTTTATCTGAAAATCAAACTTGTTGCATTATAGGAAGAGATTTTGCTGACACTTTGATAAGTATTAGAGATGTTATTGATTTAGTTGATATGGATAATATTGAAGGTTATGTACTTAAATTGATCAGAAAAGGCCTTTGATAGGGTTAGTCATGAGTATTTGTTTGAAGTTTTAGAAATATTTGGATTTGGACTATATTTTAGAAAATGGATATGTATTTTTTATACTGACATATATAGTAGTGTAAAATGCAACGGATTTTTGACTAGATATTTTCCAGTCAAGAATTCAGTGAGACAAGGATGTCCAATATCTGCTTTGTTATATGTTTTATCAGCAGAACCATTAAGCTATATTATCAAACAACACGAATTAATAAAGGGTATTCCAATTCCAATGTCAGATAAGACATGTCTTATGTTTCAGCATGCAGATGATACAACATTGACTCTCTCTGACAAAATATCTGTTTTTGACGTTTTAAAAATTTTTGATTTGTATGGAAAAGCATCCGGGGCCAAAATTAATTTTCAGAAATCTGAAATATTGTGCATAGCAATTGGAAATATTTTAGAACATGAAAAATTATCACTTAATATTTCATGTGACATGAAAATACTTGGTGTTTATTTTGGTAAAAATAGAATAGAATGTGAACATTTAAATTGGGATGAAAAAGTACAAAAAATCAAACAAATTATCAATTAATGGAGACAGAGACGTTTATCAATTCAAGGAAGAGCTATCGTAATCAATTATTGTTTGCTTATGTCTAATTTATGGTACACCTTGACAGTCATTTCAATCCCTCAGTGGGCAAGAGAAATTATTCAAAGAGAGTGTTCTAATTTTGTCTGGAATTTTGGTACTCACTTAGTTTCGCGTAAAAATGTAATTGGTGAGAAACATTATGGTGGATTGAAAATAAGTGATATTCATTTAAAAATGTTATTATTTAGATTAAAGGTTTTAGCCAAATATTTTTGTCACACAAAAGAATTTTTATGGAAAGATATATTCAACTATTTTTTGACAAAAGATTGATAATTTAAAAGCAGGTATAGAAACATTTTTACTGCAGTTTAACAAAAAAGTTTTTAAAAGCTTACCTAGTTTTTATGTAGAATTATTTAGTGCGTGGTATTTGATAAAAGAGTACGTTTATAATCCCGAAAGAGGGAATGATATTTTTAGTTACTGTTTATTTTGTAATCCGAAAATAATGAATGGTAATAAAATGTTATATTTGAAACATTTTATTAATGCTGGTATAACTCATGTGAAAGATATAGCATACGAAGTTATTCCTGGTTTTGTAGTTGTCTAGCATTGTTGAAATTATACATGCAGACAATTCAGAAATAAGTGTATTAAGGAATTAAGGAAAATTATACAAATTTACTTTCTATTTTACCAGAAGATTGGAAGGTTTATGTTTTGAAAAATGAGTACAGGAGAGAGGTTTTTAATCCTGAGTTTCTTATTTCATTTAAGCA